ATACTTGGATATGAACAATATGATGTGATACATAATTGGGCAGCTGAGAAATGAGGAGAGATTTTAATTTGGCCAAGGAATGAGTCAGACAGAACTTAAGGAGGCGAATGCATTCATGATAAGAGAGAACACTGAAAGCCCAAATTCCAGGGAGTAGTGGCAGGTGTGTGACCTGATACGAGAATGCAGAGTGTTAGCAGTGCTGGCCACATAATCTGTGGGAATATATAGGGTAGTGCAAAGACCACTTTTTAAAAATATATATGAATTTCAAAATATCGAAAGCACAGTATTCAACTAAGCAGGGTGGAAGCTTCTAAGATCCTGTGCAGTGTCACAGGTCTCATTCTCTTGGATTCATCCCTGAAAGAGGATGTGAGCTCAGAGATTATAATAGCAGGGCAATCATCCAGGGCATAAAAGGCCATAGAAGAATTTTGATTTTTGCTGCCATCACATTAGGTACCAATGATCTAATTCACTATGTCTCAGAGTCTTCACTTCACTAATGACAGATTTGGATTGCATAATCCCAAGCTTAGATGGCAAAGCTTTTAAAAATCAATTTCTCATCATCTGTGTATTTCTTAAAAGGGGCTCCAACCCTCCATTCATTTTTATTGTCTTACCTATCATCATCCCTTTCTCTTTGGCAAAGATGTACTGAACTGCTAATGATGTAGACACATGCATATGGTTAAGAATCTGGACTACAGAGTTAAATTATATGTGTTTATATTACTGCTGTATTATTCAGATCTGATTGTGGGTACTTAGTATTCCTTTGTCTACACTTCTTCCTTCGTATGATAGGAACAATGTTATTCTAGCTCTTTGAGCTATTGTCAGAAGTAAGGGGGATAAAAAGAAATAGATAATGCTTGGAACAATGCTGGGTATATACACTGCACTATAAAAATTGGTTTTGATGGGAGTGGTACTGAATCAACAAATGAACAATGGTTCATAATTAGTTTGCACATTACTTATATCTTTGTAATGACTTCTAAGACATCCGTAGTTAATTTTAACACATTTCAATGCAGCCTTTTAAGATGATCTCTTCTTGAAATATACATGACCCTCTCTTGCAGCATTAAGTACTACTGTGTGTGAAAAAAACAGTTGTATATATTCATGCATTCACTTATTGAATGTCTTCCACATATCAGGAATTGTGCTTGATGCCAAAGATAGAAAGGTGACAGCACATTGTTTAAGCCCTTAGTATACGTTCTGTATGGAACCCACAGTCTACTACATGCCAGTTTTCAGATATTCTGGGTTTTTACTTCTTAGGTTGGACAATGAATCTGATATTTTACCTAAAGCCTTTGTGCAAAGGTTAATTTGATATATTCATTCTAACATGAATGCACGTGTTCCTTTGGGAATTTTTGTTCTGCAGTAGCTGACATTCTTTTTTTTTTTTTTCCTTCTGCTGACACGGCATCCTAGAAGATGACTGAAAAAAAAAAATCAGATTCCACCATTGCATTCTAGTCATATAATTATATAGACTGCTTGATCTCTCTTTCAGCATTTCCATGAACAGGAAATGGTGAGAGTCATTCAGTCCAGCTGTTAAATTATACATGTCTCACATCAGTGTTCCTGGACTTATTCCTGGCTTCAGCTCCTGACTCCAGCTCCTGACTCCAGCTTAAGGCAGAACCTAGAAAGCAGTAGTGATGGCTCAAGTACAGGAGTTGCCATCAGACACCTGGGGAATCTGCATTGTACATTTCCAATTCCCAGATTTTGATTCCACTAATTGCAAGCAGTTGGGTAATGAACCAACATATGGAATTGATCTTTAGCAGCTAGGCCACTATACCAGGCCCAAGAATACATTTTTAATGTTTTTATTTTTTTGTCTTTGCTACTGTATTTTAATTTTTTGATAATCATATTTTCCTTGCTAAATGATAATGATACTTAAGTATAACTTTTAAGCAGCTCCAGTCTTAGCATCTGTTTTTTATGCCCCCCGAACTCTCTGACTTCTGTTTTGAAATGAGATAGAATCTCTCATTTCTCTTATATTTATTGCTGTTTTCGACTGATGGTTATTTCTTGAAAATTACAGAACTTAAATAAACACATAGACAAATAAGTTTAACAAAAAAACAAGAATGGTCTAAATTTCTTGTCCTACTACATCACTGAAACTCTCTCCTTTTTATCATGAAAAATCTTCGTTGGAAGACTACATTGTGCACAGAGTGGGCAGCTCAACTACCTGTGTTCCTGTTCCTGGTGCATTTCCTGTCGACCTGAGAATACTGTGACTTAATCCTTGGCATTCAGACGTAAATTAAACAAAGTGCCCCAATTGACTGAGGGGGCTGTTTTCCAAAGTGACAAAATAAATGCAATTAATGAGGTTCATTGTACCCACAAGAGCATGTGAAAAGCTATGGCTTGACATTTTATCATATCGTTGTTTATTGATTTACGCCTTAGAAAAATCCAATATGCTTTCCTGCAATGGTGATTTTGAATTGGCTTGGAGGAAACAAAAAACACTTTCAGAAATGTTTGCTTGGCAGACATCCTTTGAAGATGACCAATATATTTTTATTAGCATCTGTCAAACCTCACATCATTATTGATGTTTTAATTTATAACTTCAAAGTGCAAGAACCCAAATATATTAACATAACGGTGCTTATGTTGAAACATCTTTTTTTTTTCCTGAGAAAAACATCTTTGAAGATTGATTTATTTATCTTTGGAAAGACATATTAGTGAAGGAGAGCGAGAGCAAGGGGAAGAGAGAACGAGCGAGAGAAGTCTTCTACCTGCTGGTTCACATCCCAAATGACCACAGCATTGGCAACCAGGAGCCACGTTTTACATCTATGTTTCCCTGACTAGGTTGTTAATACTTGGGACATCTTTCCTTGCTTTTCCAGTTATGTTAATAGGGATCTGGATTCAGGCTGGAACGATCAGGACGCAAGCTGTTGTTCATACAGATGCTGTCAGTGTGGTGAGCATCTTAACCGCTGTATCTCACTGCCAGCAATCCTTCCCCCACCCAAATAACTCTGACATGCTAAAATCATTGATTAGCATGGGCTATTTATAGAGAATGTGTTGAAGTACTCTTTGAAATTGTTCATTCAAGCTATTGGTATTACCCAATCATGTAAATATTTGTTGCAGAATTCCTATTTTACAACTGCTATGCCTTTCTGATATATACATAAATATGCCAGCATGCTTATCCCGTGAAACAAATAAGATTTTTTCCTAACATCTATGAAATATAAAAATGTTCTTTAATCTACAAAATGAGTAATAATCTTTTTTGAGATGCTGCCTTTCAGTCACACATAATTAGTTGGTTACTTGGGAATTTTAAAATAAAAAATATGAATTTTTTCATTTTGCAATGCAATCTTGAGCAGTATGTGTTCATTTATTTAATCAGATTTTTTAAATCATGGATCAACAGTCATTTATATGATAATATCATTAACAAACTCTAAATATATTAAACACTGATTTAATCAGATTTATTATGGAGGGAATAATAATGAGAAACAATTCTGAGAGAAGTGATTTTAACAATTAGATTTTCTTGGCAAGCTCAGTTGAAAGTACAGCTTAACTTTTTAGAGACAGAATATGAGCCACAGTCATTTCCATTCAATACGAGTATATCAACAATGTATGTCACACACCTGAGTGGGAACAAGTGCTGATTCACCAACGCAGTCCCTCGTTCTGAAAACTGCAACTACCACGTCAGGAAGAAATAAGTCCAGTGAGTGCCTTAACACAAGCAGAAACAGATTGTTCCAGTTTTCAAAGTAGAGAGAGTGTATTTATTACTGGGAAACAGTACAGTACAATTTCTATCATTAGATGGTATTTATAATTGATGTTAATGTATTACTAGAATTTTTGAGCATGGAGACAAATGTGAGGGCTAAAGAAATATTTCATGCTAGAAATGTTTTCTCCAAGAATTAAATGCCTGATCTCTTGGAGACATTCATGAGTACTCCTGGAAACAGAGCGCTTTCTTTAATTGGCTCTTCCGTGAAAAATTTTGTTTAACTGATCAAATTGGATGAAGTCCATTTACTCCAATGGTGAAGGGAAGAAAACTGGAATCCTACATTATTTTTCTCTGTTTGCCATTTCTATGTGAATATATGCCCTGCTTTGAAATGGTGTATCTTATAATTGTTGGAAATAATATAGTTGTTATTTTTAATTAGAGAAATGAAGGAATTCAATTCTAAAAGGAATAACAATGTCTTGTGGAAATGTGTATTTGATATAAGTGCGATATAGTTTTTCAAAGACAGTAAGAGGTATAGCTATACCAGAGGAGTCCTATTATAATCTCCAGAAAGGCATATAATTTTTGTACTAATAAAAAGGGACTTCTAAAAAAATGAACAGCACGGATGTAGAATATAATTGTGAGAAAGCAATGGAAATACAATTGAAATGCTAATTAAGGAGCATGTTCTAAAGTCCTGGAAACCAAGGCCAGTAGTATGGGTAGAGAGGTGGCATCCTACACGTTATCTTAGCCCATGTGGTTGCTATGCACAGCTGGCTATGCCCTGAGAAGACTTGGCACTTAATTCTCAGAACAATAGAGACCTTTTTTTCAAGGTTGGAAATGATATAATGGTTGTCAAACTTTTAGGAGATTAACTTTGCAATGTTTTATAGAGGGATTTCTGTGTTCAAAACATGAAAGTGGAATAAACTAGACAGGATAGCCAGGTAAACAAATGCATGCAGTTTATAATTTGTTAATAGAGATGAGGACAAAGCAAAAGTAGGTAACAATTTTCTTCAAGTGTCTTAAAACATTTTTTATGCCCTGATGGAACATTTATGCTGATTTGTATAGGGTGAAGGACAGTCATATCTCCTGTGAGCCTCAGATTGCAATGAGTAGTTGGATAGTTGGTCTGTAATTCCCTCCTCCTAATTTTAATTTTTCTTTGTCTGTGCTCCTCTTTCAGGCTGAAGTCATCGATGTCAGTTATGGAACTGCAGATGATTTAAAAAGGATTAAGAAAATGAAAAATACAACAAATCAGATTGCACTCCTGAAACTAGGAAAATTGCCACTCATTTATAAGGTTGGTTCAATGGCTATTATTCAGTGGAAGGACAGATAATTTGCTTTGATGAGTTCAAGTTTTTTGCCTTTGCGACCATAGAACCTATAAGTCACTCCTGCTCTCTCTCCCTCTTTTGCCCTCCCTTCCTCCCCCTCCTTCCCCCTCCCTCTTTCTTCTGTGTATGTGTGTGTGTGCGTGTGTGTGTGTGTGACAACAGAATAGAATAGAATAGAATAGAAAAGAAAAGAAAAGAAAAGAAAAGAAAAGAAAAGAAAAGAAAAGAAAAGAAAAGAAAAACAGATAGCAGGGAGGGCAGAAAGAAGCAGAAGAGGAAGGGTTTTGGGGCCCGGCACGGTAGCCTAGTGGCTAAAGTCCTTGCCTTGCATTCACCAGGATCCCATATGCACACTTCCCATTCAGCTGCTGTTTGTGGCCTGGGAAAGTAAGTAGTCAAGGACTGTCCAAAGCCTTGGGACCCTGCACCCATGTGGGAGACCCAGAAGGAGTTTCCTGGCTCCTGGGTTCAGATTGACACACCTCTGGCCATTGCAGACACTTGGGTAGTGAATCATTGGAGGGAAGATCTGTCTGCAATAAAAATAAATAAATAAATAAATAAATAAATAAATAAATAAATAAATAAATCTTTTTAAAAATAAGGTTTCCTGAAACTTAACTTTTTAAGGTAACATATTTAAGATGTAAAAAAAAATTATTTCCTTATCTCTTAATACTGCAGATACCTTAAGCAAAGAATTGGTGGTAAAATTGGCAAACTCTATAATGATGACTGTAAAAAAGGCTAAAAATGAGAAAGAACTGCAATATCCTCTTGCCATGACACATGTGAAATCTCTTACCAAAGCTAACTGCCATTTGCTTTATGTTAAGCTACAATCCAGCTGATTTACAGCCCTTAGTGATTGCTTTTTATCAGCTGTATCACTTCACACTTGCTAGCTAAGCTCAGAGCTTTAATTAAAATATAATGATGCTAAGGAGAAGTAAAATTTTGATTTATTTTATTTAAATAGGAGTTTATTAACACTTATCCACTAGATCTATTTACATAATTAAACAGCTCATCTAAGTGGCTTTTAATGAACCAGAGCGGACAATCAGTGCTGCTCAATCTGACTTCTTTCCTTTTCTTTGTGAAAAGAATGATCAGTGGAGTTATGCCACTGGACGCCCTGATCCTGAAGATATTTTACATTCACTTTTTACTAACTTTAAATGAGCGCTGATAATAATTCTCAGGTGTAAAACATTTACAGTAATTTGTTAGTGTATTTTATTTGGAAACCAAAGAACCTTCTGTGCCTATTCTTTATTACCATTCACAGATGATGCCCTTGAATTGAAATCATTGTTTGATGGGATATTTCTTGCCAGGATTTCAAGACAGTATTGCATATATTTTATGTAATGATACAACTTTTTGCTGGATAACTTTTCAGTATGTGTTAAATTACTCTAAAAATCAAACTTGCATCTAGCAACTCTTGTTACCATGTGTATTTTTGCATTTTTTTTCAAGAAGGGGAATCAAACAGCAATGGCAAATTCTGATGGCCAATGATAAGATATTAGAAATGATTCAATCAGAACATTTACAGTTTGGCCATATTTGTACAGCTGAATACCAAACAATAATTAAAATGTAAAAACACACACACATAGATACATGAAAATCTTCCCAAGTCAAACAACTACATTATAAAGAGAATCTATCTTATGAATGAATTTTGCATGAGTATTATTGTTGTTAAAGAGTAATATTGTGAATGATAGGAAGTAGGCATTTTTAAGCATTTTTGATACAATGCCACATTAATTCACAGTAACCAAATTGTTGAGGTAGGAACAATTATTATTGTCTTCAGTTCACAAATAAACATAACTAAACATGTGTCCCCAAAAGTCAAAGCAACTATAAATGTCTTTGATCCCCAGAGAGAATAAATTATCTTAAGATAGAAAAAAATGAAATCAGAAAAATCCCCTATGCTCTATCTCTGATTTCTAAGCTCTAACAAAATGGAGGTAAGATTATAGTTAGTACACTGAAAAGGAACTGTAAGAGAATTCATCTCTTCTCCAGTAGTAGATGTGAACTAGTGGAAGGACAAGATAATAAAATTTTAAATTCAAGGTAATATTTCCATCATGACATGAGACATTATAATAACTTATTTAGGAAACGTGACTCAAATTATGTGAATTTTTATTATCACTAACCAGGAAAATAATATGATAGCTTAAGTTTCCATTTAGGTCTTGGAGATTGAATGTGCCTCACTGAATTTTCTTTTTGTCACTGAATGTTCTCAAATAACAATAGAAAACAGAGAAATATTGCTTTGGATATGATCCCTGAATCTTGAATATTCACTCTACCAGTAAGTAAAATGTTATGCGAAAAGGACCAATTGTATAACCAGGACATGGTAAGGGTAGAATTAAGGCTAATTTCTACATCTGTTTGTTTTACTTCTTTTCCAAATCTTCCACATGAATGTATACTTATTTTATATGCAGAATCAATGCTCTGAAAATTCAGTTAAAAAGGCACTTTAAATATTTTCTTTAATTATGTTAATTTGAAAGTCGGAGTTACACAAAGAGAAGGAGAGAAAGAGCTACAGAGGCTGAAACTCTTCACCTATTGGCTCACCCCCTCCCTCAGATGACCTCACTGGACAGGGCTGTGCCAGGCTTCCTAGGTCTCCCACATAGGTGTCAGGGGTTCACACACTTGGGGCATCCTCTGCTGCTCTTCTAAAGCCATTAGCAGGGTGTTGGATCAGAAATGGAGCATCCAGGACATGAACTGGCAGCCACATGCAGTGCTGGGGTACAGGAAGTGGCCTGAGCCTCTATGTCATAACACCAGCTCCAAGACATTGTAAATATTTTCTAATAGCTGTCACAAGCCAAATAAATATTCAAAACTCTCATCAATACCTAATGGGTTTTAAATAAACAAATTTCTTTGTATTTAGCATGTTTGCAATTTGAAACCCTGACCATATCTATAACGTAGCAAATTAATGGTTTATCTGAAATGAAATACAGTTATCAATAATCCGATGTCCTTTTCACCTATCATTTTCTTACAGTGTTAAATAGATTTAAATTTTAATTCAACAAAATGTCCAATAGAGCAGATGCACTCACAATTCTCATATAACACTGAATCTGCTTAACCACAATGTGGCTCTGTTTCTATGTCTGTGCTTTGTTCTGGAACTGTGCTGTGTGCTGTGGTCCCAGTGGAATACAAATGTAGCACTGTGTCAAGAACAGAGTCTGTTCTGGAAAGGACAAGACCTGAAGAGATGCAGGTAGAAGTGTTTGCAAACTAGAGGGAAACATGACTTGGATGATCTCATCAATGTTAAAGGAGTGTATAACAGTCCTTTGGTGAATGACCATAGTGTGTTTTTACTTCAATGCAATAGTGCATTTTGCAGTTGTTATTGGTGTTATGCATATGAGCATGTTACATTTTGTTCAAAGGACAAATAAGAGAGAGAGAGAGTGGAAAATCTCAATAAAAAATTGGGTATTGAATGTCTTAAAAAAAAAAGAAAGAAAGAAAAAAAAAAGAAGATCCTTAAAGAGAGTCTTGACAAATTTGGCATTGTCATCTAAGCACAGAAAACACGGCATGTTCTCTTTACCCTTCTGAATTATGTTGTAGCCATCTCTGTTTCCCATAGACCATCACAGAGACTTAGAACATTAGAAGAACATACTGATACTAGTTTAAAAGAAAAAAAAAAAAACAGGAGGAAGAGAAGAGGAAAAGAGGACCCGCAAGGGCCAGCATGCCATGGTGCTCCTTTGTCCCAGCTGCCTCAGTTTTCATCAAGCTCTCTGCTTGTGGCCTCAGAAAGCAGTGGAGGCAGATGATCCAAAGCCTTGGGCCCCTGCTCCTGTGTGGGAGGACTGTAAGGGCCTCCTGAATCCTGGTGTTGGTTCAGCTCAGCTCTGGCCATTGCAGCTGTTGGGGAGTGAGGCAGCAGGTGGAAGAGCTTTCTCCCTGTCTCTCATTGTCTCTGTAAGTCTGAGTTTCCAATGAAAATAAAATTTTTCATATAAAGTGAGGTAATATGATGATATAGTAGGATAAAGAAGGCAGAGCACAAACCTTACTTCCAAGTGAATCATGATTTTTAATCCTGATTCCAAATGAACATTTAGCCTGGTAACAGGCAGCTGAATGCATAAAGAGAAAAGCCAATCCTATTTTACTATGCAGTAGTTACTAAATCATACTTCAAAAATGAGGGAATCTGCATCTGAGATAGTGAGGGCAAAAGAAAAGCATAATTGGGATATTAAATTATCTCCACATACGGGTAAAAAACATCAGCGGTCAAGAAGATTTCATTAGTTTTATCATAAATATTATGTATGTATTAATTTAGCCTCTTGGAGGGAATTGATGAGAAAATCTCCACCGTGTGCAATAGGAGCTGTGAAGTGCAAATGGATATTAAATATGTGCTCTGACATTGGCATCTTTTGCAGCAAAAAGGGTCAACTAAAGTCTCCCGAGATAGCTTTCCTAAGAACTTAGAGGAAAGGATTATACCCATTTTAGTTTCATATTTTTAGCCATTTATTTTATGAATAGTGGTCTAATTAAACTTTAAAGCAAAAATATTCCCGCATCTGTCATCATCAACCCAGTGACAATCTAGGACAGAATAAAATAGACTGTGTGACCTTTACCCATACCTAAGTTGGTCAATAGTACTCCACTGTGGAAACAAATTTATAAAATATGGTAAAAGTATACGAGCTTCATTTTAGCTTTATTTTCACACATGCATACACGAATGCAATGCTAATAACTGAACATCACTGGGTATCTATGATACCAAGTACTACAGTAACTCCCTTTGCTCTGTGGAGGCTGGGCCATTGTCTATCTTCTACCGCATGTTGCTCCATGCAGGAGTCAGGTGCTTGCTTTTTGTTTGAAAAGATGACAGAGATTGTGGGGG